GCTGAAGGGTCTCCTCTTTCTCAGAGGATAAACTATAAAGCCTAGGAAATTGAATCTTCAGGTCACTATTGTTAAGCCATTTATCCTGCCAAAACAATATTCTCCTTCCATTTCCAACCTTAATTCTAAAATGCTCACCATAGAAATCCCCTAATTGCTGATTTTCTGAGAGCAATTTCACAATGTCAAACCAAACTAAGGACATCTCACCTGAAGAGTTCAGATCTGGAAGCCAACCTCTTCCATTCCTACCATACCTTGAACATACCACAGTTTTCCACAAAGCTGAATCTTCATTACCATACCTCCACCACCATTTCAATAGCAAAGATTCATTCACCTCTCCTAAGTCTCTTACACCCAAACCTCCTTGACTTTTACTTCTTGTGATCTCCTTCCATTTGACCAAGTGCACCTTCCTTTTATTAACATTCCCTCCCCACAAAAAAGATGACTGCAACTTGACCAAGGTTTTAACAACACCCTTAGGCATTCTAAAGAGAGAAAGAAAATAGATTGGCAAATTAGCAAGGATTGACTTGATCAAAGTCTATCTCCCAGCATAGGATAGAAGCTTCCTCTTCCAAGAGGACAACTTTTTCTTCACCTTCTACACAACTGGGTCCCAAGTACTCTGTTTCCTAGGATTAGCCCCTAAAGGGAGACCAAGGAAAGACAAGGGTAATTTCATAGTTAAGCAATTCAAAACCCTAGCAAACTCCTTAGATTGATCTTCTTGGAAGCCCACACCACACACTACACTTTTATGATAATTAATTCTTCACCCATACATCACTTCAAAACATCTCAACACCCTCTTAATATTCGAAATATCCTCAATATCCCCTTCACAGAATATAATAGTATCATCAGCAAATTGGAGATGTGAAACACTCACATAATTGGAACCAACAGTAGCACCCCTAAATAAACCCAGTACTTTAGCTCTAGCAAGTAGCAGATTAAGCCCTTCTGCAGCAATAATGAACTAGAATGGAGGAAGGGGATCCCCTTGCCTTAACCCTTTTTGTGGCTGGAACTCCTCTGTAGGTGCACCATTGACAAGAACTGACACCATAGTTGTAGAGATACAAGCTTTCATCCACCTTCTCCATTTATCACCAAATCCAAAATTTCTCATCATTGCCAACAAGAATTCCCAATTTATTGAATCATAGGCTTTCTCAAAATTCAATTTTAATATATTGCCTTTCTTCTTAGACTTTTTCCACCAATCCACAACTTCATTTGCTATTAATACCCCATCCAAGATATATCTATCACTGACAAAAGCTGACTGCACTTCATCTATCACAGAAGGAAGAGCCTTCTTTAATCTTCTAGATTGCACCTTGGCCAAAATCCTGTACACTGAGGTAACCAAGCTGATGGGTCTATAGTCCCCCAAGCCTATGGGATTGTCCTTTTTGGGTATGAGCACCATGAAAGAACTGTTAACACCCCTTGTCAGCCTCCCATTTGTGTGAAACTCATACATCATCTGCAATATGTCACCTTTCATTATTCCCCAGCATTTTTTAATACAAGCTAAGTTAAAACCATCTGGCCCAAGAGCCTTGTTCCCATCACAATCCTGAATGGCTGCCCAAATCTCTTCTTCAGTAAACATTGCTTCTAAACCCACTGCTACCTCCGGGGAAATTGTAGCAAAAGGTCCAGAAATTTGTGGACTAGAAGTCCAACTTTTAGCAAAATGGTTTCTGAAATGGCTAAGCACTGCTTGTTTCACCTGAGTTGGATCCTCATGCCTCACTCCCTCCACTGACACAGAATCTATCAAGTTCACTCTCTGCCTACTACTTGCCATAAGATGGAAAAATCTAGTATTTCTGCCACCACACCTAGCCCACAACAATCTAGACTTTTGAAGCCATATTCTTTCCTTATTCCTACTAAGCTTCCATACCTAACTTCTAACCTCTCTCATTCTTATTCTTTCCAGCACATCCAGAGATCTAGTTTCTGCCTTCAAATCCCATTCATATAGTTCTTGTTTTGCTGACCTCAACATAGTATCAATATTGCCAAACACCTCCTTATTCCACACCCTTAAGTGACTTCTTAAAGAGGATAGCTTCCTCATTAATCTGTACCCTGCCCATCCCGAAGCCTATGTGACCTCCCAAATGTGCTTGATTTCAGTCAAGAATGTAGGATATGATGTCCAAGCATTAATGAATTTGAATGGCTTAGGACCCTAATCCCTATCATCTTCCTTCGACGAAATTGGAGAATGGTCTGAAATTGATTTGGGTAATCCCCATAAATTAAATGAAAAATTTTCCAGCCACAGGGAGTCTAACAAAAAACGATCTATCCTACTCCACTTATCCCCTTCCAATGCATTACACCAAGTGAATTTTCTGCCTAACATAGGTAAATCAGACAGCTCCAATTGTTCCACAAACTCATTGAACTCCTTCATCCTCTTCTCTCTTCTTGAACACCCTTTCCTCTCACTCAATAATCTGATTTCATTAAAATCACCACCCACACACCATAGGTTTGGGAAATAGGGTTGTAAACACACAAGGGAACCCCATATCTTCTTCCTCCTCAACACCTCATTTGGAGCATATATATTAACAATCACACAATAAAAATGTTGAGCCAAGGTACCTGAGAGTAGAATGAAGTGCTTACTACTGCAGCAGTCTTTTAGCTCAAACACTTGTGGCCTCCAAATACAGAGCAACCCTCCAGCACTTCCTTCTGAATCCACCATCATATAACCCATCTCTTCAAAAGGCCACATGGATCTCACAAAATGCTCCTCCATTGAGTTCCTTTTGGTTTCTTGTAAAAGTAAGACATCCACTCTTCTATCCTTCACCAAATTCTTTATTTTGCCCCTCTTTTATGACCTTCTCAACCCTCTAACATTCCAAGATAAAATCTGCATAATAAAGTTATATTTTCTCCTTAGTCCCCTACTTAACAATCTGTTAAGATTTGACTGCCCCTTTCTCACCTGCAATTCTTTGTAAATCATTTTCTTCAAGTTCCACTATCTTGTTGACTAGCTGATCCTCTTTACCTTGACATTGCAAACCCAACAGTTTTCCAATCTTCATTGTTGCATGTGCTTCCTCCATTAAATTTTTCCTCCTTTGTGTTGCATGACTCTGAGATGAAGACAAAGAAGTAGCAGCTGCAGCTGATACTGCTGAAGCTTTGAATAGTGCCCCTCTTTGAAAACTAAGCCCTTCAACCATGTTTCTTTGTTTGCTATGGCCACCTACAGAGCAGGAGCCTTTCTTTATCCCTATGCCCTTCTGCCGTGATATATTACCCTTAGTACCAACTGCTGCCTTGTTCTTTGAGTTTTTCCCAGCCCTTTTAACCATACTAGAATGTGATATAAAGGAGAAATGGGCCTCAGATGATCTAAGTTGGGATTGGGCCGCACAGTCACTCAAATCCGAGCCTAACCCCACTTGTAATCTGCTAGGCTCAGGCCCAACGTACAAGCCTTCAAGTATTACTTCCAAATTTATATTTGGTGTGACCCCTTCCGACCCATTCACTGCACCTGCAAGTCCAATATTGTCAACAGCCCCATCCAATTTTTGAATTTTGGTCATCATTATCTGCTGTGAATTGACTCCCTGATTCATACCCTCTTCTTTGGATCCAGCGCCTACCTTACCATTTCCCATACTTACCATAGCTTCAGCTGGTGCATACTTCCCATCATAACCCCTACGTATCACATCTGATCTACCAGCCACTGTTTCCTGAGCCCTGCTAACCTCGTCATCTTCACCAACCACCTTATTCTCCATTGCTACAGTACCTCTGTAATCACACCTCGTCGTCCCACCATTGCCAGACACCTGATCCACCTCCACAATCTCACAACCTTTCGATTTCAACTGCAGCATCTCCTTCACTCGGCTTTCACTAGAAGTAGGAAGCAAACACTTTGGTAGTTCTTACCCCACTTGTAATCTGCTAGGCTCAGGCCCAACGTACAAGCCTTCAAGTATTACTTCCAAATTTATATTTGGTGTGACCTCTTCCGACCCATTCACTGCACTTGCAAGTCCAATATTGTCAACAGCCCCATCCAATTTTTGAATTTTGGTCATCATTATCTGCTGTGAATTGACTCCCTGATTCATATCCTCTTCTTTGGATCCAGCGCCTACCTTACCATTTCCCATACTTACCATAGCTTTAGCTGGTGCATACTTCCCATCATAACCCCTACGTATCACATCTGATCTACCAGCCACTGTTTCCTGAGCCCTGCTAACCTCGTCATCTTCACCAACCACTGTTTCCTGAGCCCTGCTAACCTCGTCATCTTCACCAACCACCTTATTCTCCATTGCTACAGTACCTCTGTAATCACACCTCGTCGTCCCACCATTGCCAGACACCTGATCCACCTCCACAATCTCACAACCTTTCGATTTCAACTGCAGCATCTCCTTCACTCGGCTTTCACTGGAAGTAGGAAGCAAACACTTTGGTAGTTCTTTACAGATCCTTACTGGTATAGATTTACCTTTGAATTCCAAAAAGACTACCGAATTAATCAACTCCATACATCTTGTGATTACTCGTACTCTTCCATGGTGAAAATTTTGTGGGCTAGAAATATCCTCTTGGAATTGAACAACAGTCCCCCAATGGCTTCCAATGCTTTTAAAAGTCGTCACATTCCAAAGATTAATTGGTATGCCAAAGCAATTTAGCCAGACACATCTCTCTTGCTCCTCAAACTGGCTCTTCCCCCACTCATCAACTGAATCACACCACTTCTTACCACACTTGCCTATTTGTTCCTTCCCTTCCTTCATCTACTGAACAGAATTAAAAGTTAGCACTACTATTCTTTCTCCATTGTCCCCAACAATAACATCCCTCATTCCCCTATTATGTAGTTATGCTTTGAAAGCCTCCACAGCTAAGAAGCTACTCAACTTCACCACTAAACTTTCGTAAAGCTATTCGTTTCCTTCTTCATAAGCTCAGATCACCACCTTCTCACTGTCACATACTCTTCCTCTGACTAATGCTTCTGCATATGACTGCTTAGCCCTATTATCCTGCCATTGCTGCCTTTGAGGCCGCTGATGCATCGCTCTGCCTTCATCTCCTCTGTTTAGCATCCCCTTCTCTCGATGACCCAGAGCATGAGGTTTTTGAAACTCTGCTCTTTTAACTTTCAGCGCCTTATTATCACACCACAAACCATCAGCCTTCTCAATCGCCATCTCTGCCGCCACCTCACAATCGTATCGCACAAAACCAAATCTGGAACCTAAAACTCTTCTCCTCTTCCCTGGTATGAACGCATCCTTTACCACGCCAAACTTTCTAAAATGACTGAATAAACCTTTAGCATCCATGGACTCAGGGATGTTGTCCACGAAAATGGTAATCACCTCTGTCTTCTTGCAATAACCATCCTGATTTCCTACCACCCTCCTTCTGATCACAGGAATCCAACCACCATTCATTTTTTCTCTACTTCCCTTATTTGTTATCATATATTTTGTTGTTTGTTGCTATGAAGAACTTGCATGTTTGCTTATGATTTTCAAGGATAAAATTTATTAACAGTCAAAACTACAACATTTGATTTGTTTAGTGTTCAAAGGACACTCAATTCAGATTAGCTAGAACTGGGAAGACCATTTGACCTTCTTAAACTCATATTGTTATCTTTATTTATTGATTGATTCAAACTTATATAGTTATCTAACCGTAGAATAGAATGTACCACATGTGAAGTGTGTGTTGTAAGTGTTGAAATATTGAATACCAATTCATATAAAATTTTAAGTTGTTAGATAGATGAATAACTTTATTATTTATATTCTCATCAGTAAAGTAATCGTAATTTTTTTTGGTCCTCTCCCTAAAGCCAAAAAAATTAGATGATAATAAATTACATGGACTACCTTATAGATCAATTTTTTTTTTTTAAGCAAAAAGAAAAGAAAACTTCATGCATACACATCATACTGTTTTAGAAATGAAATTTAGGGATAAAATTGGTTCCAGTTTTCAGAAAATTTTATTTTTTTATTTTTCGTATTTTAATATTTTCAATGAATTTTTTAATATTTTAAGCAATTTTTTTTAATTTTTAGACACACCTAACATAAACACACTTAAAAAGTATAATATTTGTGAAAAAAATCTTTAAAAAATACACTAAATACCAAAAAATACACAAAAAATTGAAATTTTAGTACATTTTCATATTTTTTGTATATTTATTAATTTTTTAAAATATTTTTTTACAAATATTTTACTATTTAGATACATCTAAGTAAAGTGCATCTAAAAAAATAAAAAAAATTACTTAAAATTAAAAAAAATATTCACTAAAAACAAAAGAAAAACACGAAAAACAAAAAATTCAGTTTTCAAAAAACTGAATTTAGAAAGCCGAAACCAAACACACTGATTACTTTTTAAAAATGAAATATTTTTGTTACTAAAAGTGTTATTTTATATTTTTAGTGCCGAAATTGAACATTCAGTGATGAATTAAATTGTCTCAGAAAATAAATCTTCTTGGCAACAAATTGTTTTGTCCCTAAAAATACATTTATTAGTAACATTTTCAAAATATTTGTCACTAAAAGTCATTTTTAAAAATTTTTGGGATGGCTTTTTAGTGGCGACTGGAATTGGTCCCCTAATATATATATATATATATATTGTAACAAAATTTCATTTTTGAGGACAAAAATTTAATCCCTAAAACTCTTTCATGTTGTGCTACAACGAGATCAATTTTCGCTTTATATGCATGTAAATTTTTCTTTTTGGGGGGTCAAAATATGCATGTAATTGATAATTAACTTGAAGTGAGTTTGTTAATTATAGGACCTAATGGGTTGGTAGGCTAATAAAGAAGTGATCAATACAACAAACTCAGGAAAAGTACTCTGAAGTTGTATTGAAATAAAATTTATGGACCAATTTTATTCTATATCTGGCCTACACCATGTTAAAATTTTGAATTTAGAGTATATTCTTTATTTTTGAAATATTTTTTCGAGGTACATAGTTTTTTCCTTTATGATTTAATCAAACCTGCAGCCTTCCATGGCTGACCAAAATTGTTGGAAACTTTTTATTCGCCACCAAGTACATTACAAAAACCAAGTTAATCAACTTTTACACTAGGTTTTTTTCTTTATGGCTAGAGTTCAATGCAACCAAAAAAAAAAAAAAAAAAAAAAAGAAGTCAAGTTTTCTTTGAGATTAATTAGTGAATCACTGTTTACTCCACTCTTGGTAACTTTATCTTTGACCTAATAAAGTTACCACTTAGTGGCCTCTTCTTTTCCATTTTCTTTTTGTTGGCAACCATATCATGTTAAAACCTATGAGGTTTGGTTTAGGGGCCATTTGGGTCCCCATAATTCACTACAAAATAGTGATTCTGTCATCTCATTCAAAAAGAGATTGCAATCAAAAGGAGATTGCAAGGAAGATGATAAAATTAAACTTTTTTTAGTTCTTTCTTTTAATAGTTTTTCTCCTTTCAAATAAAGTGGAGGCCACAGTGCCCTAGGAACCTTTTTGCATGAAATGTTCTAGTGGGAAACATAAGTAATGGATGGAAAAAGTTTTGGCTGTAAAAGATGATTCACAAGAGCAGATTAACACTTGTTAGTACTTATCAAGAGTAAGTCTTCATGTATTACCTACCACATGTTTGTTCTAGCCAGCTACAAAAGGTAAAAACTAAAAACACATTAACATCTGTACTGCTTTCTTTCTATATATCCTCCTGTTTTTGTTGGTTAAATGAGTTGCTTATGACTTTTTTATTTTTATTTTTAACTTTGAGATTATATGTGGATGGTTTGCTATTGTTTCTACTTATAAACAATTTATCTGGAAGAAATTGCCTAAATAAGGTTTAAAAAGGTAAATATCTTAAAGATGAGGGAGAAATGTTCCAATTCTGCTTATAAATTATCTAATCTCTCTAACGTCTCCAATTATGTTTCTGACATTGTCTTCAATCTGAGGCATGTTAGGCTTTGTATTTGATTTCCTCTCTGGCTTTCTCTTCTTCTTTTTCTATTTTTCGTTGTTGGTTTCTCACTAATTGCTAGTTTGATAGATGATTGTGTGAGTTTCTTGGTACCAATCCAGTTGGAATCATTTAGTTTCACAATGATGGCCTTTGCACTTTCCTCTCCTTTCCTTTGTTGATGTTTTATTTCCTTTCTTGAAGGTTTATTTCCTTTGTTGATGTTTTCTTTTTTTGATATATATATATATATATATATATCAATTTTCAATTTTAAATAAATGGTCCTCCTAATAGCACCCACAAAATCTCTTTATACTCTCAATATTTTGGAACCCTATGAACTAATTTCCAATTTTGTAAAAGTTCTTTGAAAACCATACTTAATTAATATGAAAATTAACCCCACTCTCTCGAAACCTAACCTTCATCCACCACCACCACCACCAAATAAGAACATCACCCCAAATTCTCGAAAATCTTAGCTCTTGTTAGCCTTTTTTCGTCCTAGGTCTGGTTAGCCTTTCCTAAACCTTATCACAATTTCACAACACCTCTCCACCCTTTAGTGCCACCTTTAGCTCCTTCCAAACCCTTTAACACTACCTTCAGCTCTTACCCACCCATGCCATACCCCATCCCTAACCCCTTCCCAATCCTCTTTGCTCCTCGACCATCCTATGTCGTGATAAAAAGTGAAAGAGATAGAGGATCACGAGCATGAGCACAAAGAGAGAGAGAATTGCGAGGCAATAGAATTTTGAAATAGCAAGAAGATGGAAAACAGAAGCAAGGGTCGCAAGAGTAGAGGTCTATTAGGGTAGGTGAACTTCGGAGGGCTATGGGAGTGGAGGTCATAAGGGTGGAGATGGAGCTGGGTAGGTTGGGGAATGGATAAAGGTGGAAATTAATATATAAATAAGATGAAAAATATGTAAAAAAGTTGGAATTTCAAACTAATTTTCTATATCCCAAAATATTTTCTTCCGTATTTCTATATTTTTAATACATTTTAATGAATGTTTTGCCCAAGACTAATTTTTTTTTTTTGATCAACAACAAAGGACCCTTTATTGATGATGGAAAACCTTACAAGCAGGAAGAAAACATCAGCAAAAGGGAGGAATGATGCAAGCCAAACACAATGCAGCACCATACCATAACCCTGTTGGTGAGGAACCAACAGAAATAGCAAAACTAATATAGCCACTAGCAGCAGCAGATACAATAGAGGCCTGCAGCAGATACACAGCAAAACTAACACAGTAGAGGCTTGCAGCAGATACACAGCAGCAGATACAAAGTATCAGACCAGCCACACAGCAGCAAAAAACAGGTCCAGAATCCACCCAACAGATTTTCACCCAACAGACCCAACAGATTTTCACCCATCAGTCCCACAAACAACCCTCAGATTATAACAGACCATACACCCCAAAACCAGTCCAAAATTCACCTCAGCAGGCTAAGAATTGATCCAAACCATGGCACTCCTCAAATGCATTCCTTAATCTGAGCCAAATTCACAGCAGCAAAGGAAACAGGTCCAGAATCCACCCACCAGATTTTCACCCAACAGACCCAGAATTCACCTTAGCAGGCTAAAAATTGATCAAATCCATGGCACTCCTCAAATGCATTCCTTAATCTGAGCCAAATTGATGATTATATCCGAGACAGAGTACATGAACCTTTTTACAGAAGCTTTAACCCATAAAGCAGCTTTAACCCATAAAGCAAATCTAATCCTTATCAGCTCACCTAACTCAAAAGCACAAGGTAGCACTCCATTAAACAAACAATCATTTCTGAACTTCCAAATGGACCAAAGTATAATACATGGCAAGGCTCTCCACAATCTTCTAACTAACTTCTTATAATTGCACCCTATCTACCAATGAAATAATCCATCAATATTCCTTGGCACCACCCACAGACACCCCCACCAAAGCATTACATCAGACCACACCTGCCATGAAAATGGACACTGTAATAATACATGAACAGCAGATTCATTTTCCACTTTGCAAAAAACAAATAACACAGAAGCCTCACTGTTCAGAACACCTATATATTTTAGAAAAACCCCTGTTTTCACTCTATTCCTCCAGGCCAACCACCCAAAAAATTGAGCTTTGGAGGGAATGTCATTATTCCACACAAACTTACAAATTTGGAGAGCCGGGCCCAAGAGGGAGTCACTATACCGATATATATCTAAGACCTTAAACTTGTCACCAACAGAACCATTCCAAACAGGGCAGTCTACCTCATTCAGACATAGAGAAGGGGTCACCAAAAGCACTGCAGCCAACCTGTTAGCCTCTGCCTTTTCCCAATCACATAATGGCCTTCGGAAACAAAAGTTGCACTCCCCAGAGCTGGATTTCCTCTCAAAAAATAAGACAAGGTGCCATCTTTTACTGATGACAAGCAAAATAATCTCGGAAATTCATC